TTTACAAATACTTGTCTCTAAATACTTATTTATTTAATACTCTTCAAATAGTAGGTAAGTATAAATATGATTATTAGTGGAATTAAAATTATGAATATAATAAATAATTTTCGAATTATCTAATACTCTTTACATAATTTCATTCAGTCAGTGAGTATATGAAAATCATTAGACAATAAATAAAATATTTAAATACGATACTTATCTCTAATACTTATTTATGATTAACCCTTCAAATTATTTCATTCACACTTAGTCCATGAGTATGGAGATGATTTATTAACATTAATCAGTGGAATTAAAATCATGAACATATTAAATCTCATTTACTTTAATAATAATTTAGTTAGTGAATATAAAGATTATTTATTAACATTAATTTTAAAATTATAAATTACTTATTTCTAAATACTTATTTACTATTAATTACCTAAATACTCTTCAAATAGTATGTGAATATAAAGATGATTTATTAATGTTAATTATCATAAATACTTATCTCTATTACTTACTTATTTGTCTAATATCATTCAAATAATTTTTTCAGTACGTGAGTATAAAGATGATTTATCAACAACAATTCGTGGAATTAAAATCATCAAACAATAAACAAATACTTAAATACTTAACTCTAAATACTTATTATCTATTACTTTCAAATAGTTTGTAAGTATAAAGATTATTTATTAACGTTAATAAGTAGAATTAAATCATTATATATTCATACATACTATTTGTTTATAATTAATTACCTAATATAATACCTTTAAATAACTTTATTAATTTAGTCGGTAAATATAATTTATTAGTAATTACCTAATACACTCAAGTACTTCAAGTCAGTAAATATAAAGATGTTTTGATTTTGCTACAAAACTTGCAATGAGAATTATTAACGGATTGCGACCAGAGTTTGCTCCTAAAACTCCTGATTGCTATGTTGAATTAACTAAGCAATGCATAGATTCTGATTCACAGAAACGTCCCTCTGCTTTGAGTATCTATAATAAAATTGAAGATTGGCTTAAGGAGATAGCAAGTTCAGATGTAGAAATGAAGTCGTTAAAACATTGTCAATAAACTCTCCAAGCCGTTCTGATCACATGTATATTAGCAAAATTATAGCACAAAATTAATTTCAAATGCGAATACGTAATATGAAAAATAACTTTGTGTAATTTGGCAGTCTACGACTGCCAAATAAGTATACATTGTTTGGAATAATGGCAATTTGGCAAATGAACACGTGCCTCTTTGCGGCACGTGTAGCCAATCATTTGTCAAATTACCGTATTCAAAATTTTGCCCAAGGAAATTTATGATCATGATTGGTAGGGAGTTGTCTGCTGAGTTTTAATTTGAATAAACATAACAGAAAGAAATAAATTTATGATCATACGTATTAGTTTGTCGGATAACTTTAGTTATTTGAAAGCCCCATCATAGTAGGATACCGGATAACTATATATTATCTTTTTAAAAATTATTACTGAAGGCATAGGGTGATACATTAATACTACATTATATTAAACTAAAAAAAAAAATAATTAAACTTTTAATACGTAGTAAATAAAAATGATCAACTAGCCACTACCGTTATGCACACGCATTTTTAAAAAAAAATTTAACTCTTCAGATATGATAGTATACTGTAATATTACAAAAGATTAAATTGTGTCGTAATTGAAAAACCAAACATGTGAATAGTTAATGCTAACCATAAAGAGGAATCGTACCATCATATTTCAGGTATAAACATTATTGAATTTATTTAGCATTAGACTACTTGATACAAATAAATTTATCTAATAATTATAATGACCAATGTCTTTTATTGATTGACATGTAAAATTAAGATTGGTATTCGTCAATGAATACGAGATAAAATGTGAAAAATGAATATGTACAAAACAAAGTCATTTAATTTATAAAAACATAAATACAAAGCAGTAAGGGTTCATAATCCCATATGCATTTATACAAAATAAAATAGAAATCAGCCAGACCGTCATCACAAATCAACCTAATAAATCCATGGTAAAACCATAAATTACACAGAATAAGCAGTAATTAATGTGAATCTAAGATATCTAAATTATTAAATTTCGTAATAATATCGTGAAATTGAGAGTCTTTCTGATGTGACAAAGTACTCTTATTCATCGTGATTATCTTATCAGGTGCAGAAGAACATATGAATTGCATATCATTGTCGATAGGATTATTCTCTCCGCTGCTAAAATGAGCTTTCTGATATTCAATATTGTGATTGTAATAAAAATTCTCAAGACATTTATCAGAATTCTGATTATTATAAAGATTATTTTCATAGTTTTCATTACTAATGATCAAATCGTTAAACATTTCAGCAGCGGGATTAAGTTTCAACTGAGGCGAAGTATTGAAAAGAGACAAAGAACCATTGCCACAAGCAATTAAATGAGAGAAGTCAGAATTATGTGAATACGGCATAATGATATTATACGGCTTTGAACATGTTGGAGTTGATGCACCAGAAGACAGTGGCGAAGGACTGTTTGGAACAAACGATGAGGATGGTTGAATACCGTATCCATGCTGGTCGTGGTAACCATATTGATTGTGTAATGTATGAACTTGTTGGGTGTGATAAAAATATTCATGATTATTGTGATAAATGTTATTTAAAAATTCTTTTTCATAGTGACTATCAGTTAACACGAGAGGAGTTATAGGTGTCAAGGGGCTTGAAACAGGACGGAGTTTTGGACTTGGGCATGGACTAGCATTTGGACTAATGTTTAGGGGCGAGAGAGAAGCAAGGTGAACATCCATAACATTAGAAGAATTAAATACGCCGTTTGTTGTTGTGATTAAGTGGTTCAGAACGCTTGAACATATTTTACGGTCTGGAGTTGTGTAGACGTTCGCAGGAGATTGCAAAGATGAATTGTTATTCATCTTTAAGTCTTTATCTGTTATTGAGTATAAACACTGTATTTATATGCTATAAACATTGTTGGGTTAGAATAATGATTTTTGATCGTGATGGACAACGCCTAGAAGTTAGGTTTAAAATAGTACTCACTTTAAAAAGTCAATGGCGATTTGTCAGAAGAAAAACAAAAATAAAAAAATTATTATTATTTTTTTTTTTATTAAAGTTATATAAAAATCAATGCTTGAATTAAATCACAACTATATATATATTTATTGTACTCATTTTGTTATTGTGGGGTAATTGACATTATTGAGTATAATGACGTAATAATAATTCCTGTTTTATGTATAAATCTCTGGCTCCCCACAAAAAAACAAGTCATCACTTCTACAAATTTGCACAATACGTAATTATTTCCAACAATTTGTATTACCCTTCTAAATAAATTAGTGTATATGACTACCTTAAAGAGTTGTATATGGCGTTGGTCAAAGCAATTCTCCCAAAGCTTTTCCACGTTCAAAAATTTAGGCATAGTATTTCCCTATACGTATCTATATATGTGCTTGTAAAAGGTTTTGTAATCAAAAAAGATCTTATCTATCATCTATTATTATCTTGTTCGACTTACTCTAATCGTCTTGAATGAAAATTTTATCTTCTCAAGTTTTTTTTTTTTTTTCTTGTGATCGTGTAATTTACCAATAATGATGCTTTTATTCTCTTTACCCATTATACATAATAAGAATTAGATTGACCATCGACATATTTTGTGGTCATTTTTTTATTGACCAAAATTGTAATTTTCCGTACCGGCGCGACGTACTAATTGTATATCTGATATTCGTGTAACAATAAGCAATAACTTGAATCAGCCGATAGTTATGAGTTAACGTTAACGTAATATGATCAGAAATCAGAAACAAATGTTTGAAAAAAATTGCATTTTCAAAAATTCGCATAACACCTTGTGTGTTCTAATAAAAAGTTGTTCTCAATTTCATTATATATGTCGTACTAATAGAATTATTGTAGATTCCAAATAAACAAATTCAGCAAGAATTGATTCAACTTAAATTAAGAAAATTCCAAATTATTTAATCGAGTAGATTGTTTTGGAATTTAAATTATTTTAAAATAAAATTTTATTCACGCGTCGCTTAAAAATTAATTAAATTTATTAAAATATTACATAATGTTTTTACATCTATACTGTAGCACTCTAAGGGGTAGGTTACAAAAAATTGTCGGTCGGTCCCATGACCTCCAGACTATATTTAGTTAATTGATATTTGGAAATCTAAAAAAGTTTTAATTTGAAGAAAAAAATTCTTCGTTATTACAGCTGTTTTCATTATTTTTGGGACATCTGGTAAAAAATT